CAGTGGCATGGCACACAGATACTCAGTGTGACAGCAGACAACGCATCATCAAATGATACTCTTGTGACAGAACTTGTAGATCTGGTGCCCCACTTTGCGGGTCAGGCAAGTCGCACACAATGTTTCTTGCATATCATCAATCTTGTTGCTAAGTCCCTGTTACGTGAGTTTGACACCTCAAAAAATAAGGCTGGAGAGGGTGGAGAGAGAGACGAAGATTTGGATGGACTTACTAGGAATATTGAACTTGAGGACTTGCAGACACAGGTCGAAGACCCCAACAAAGACACTGAGAATGACGATAATGACAATGGGTGGGTAAATGAAGAGACACTGCTGAATCACAATGAGCGCTTGGAGTTGGCAGCCAATATTTGGCCAATTAGACTGCTACTCGTAAAGGTAACAACAAAATACTCACCTGTGGTGTATACTAATACTCATTGCAGCTCTGAAAACTCGCCTTCAAGATCGTTCACTCAACAACAATCCTCCTTCCTGCGTGGAAAGGCATTCTTGAAGACTTGAAGCTTGCACAGCGAATCATGCCAAGGGATGTTTCAACACATTGGAATTCAACATTTGATATGTTGAACTTTGCGTTGGAGTACCGAAATGCGATCGACGTCATCGTTGACAAGCAAAAGTTGGGTCTCAAGGAATATGCGTTGGAAGATGATGAGTGGATGCTTGTGAAACAACTGCATGATGTGTTGAAGGTATGTGGTCACATGACACTAGTAACACATGCTGACATAACAGTCACAGATACTCAAGGATGCGACACTTTACTTCTCACGAGCGACCCCAAACCTTGCGATGGTCATCCCAGCCATGGATCATATCGACAACGTTTTCACCAACTGCATCGTTCAGAACGACCACCTTGATCCCGCCATCAGCACAGCTCTTGGACTTGCAAAGCGAACTCTAAACCGCTATTACTCATGTTCTGACTCCTCTGAAGTGTATCACATTGCTATGGGTATGTCTTTTGTTTTTATGTTGTTTTCTAGTCTAAATCTAATTATTTTGTAGTCCTCCATCCCTGGCACAAGCTGTCATATTTTCGGTCTGCCGGCTGGCAGCAGGACTGGATCGACACAGCTGAAAACATTGTTCACACAGAATTCAAGCGTTATGCGTCTCACTTGCCGGTCCCTACTAATAACAATGCTAATCCACCACCGGCGGTATCAGAGGTTGATGAGGTGCGTGCTACTAACATAATTTCCATTATCACAACTAACATCAACCCTCAGGACGCAAATATCTTCGACCGTTTACCCACACTTGCCCATCCCAAGTCCACTAGTACATCTGCTGAGGAACTCAATGGTTACCTCAATGCAGACATTGAGGATGTTTCGGATCCGATAGCATGGTGGCGTGGGCACCGAAAGACTTACCCGCGACTCTCTCGAATGGCATTAGACTACCTCACTATCCCTGGTATGTTTTTATTTTAGCACTAGTATATTCTCTGACATTAATGATTCTAGCAACCTCCGTTGACGTCGAGCGTATTTTCAGCCGTGGGCGCTTACTTCTCTCCCATGTCCGAAGCCATCTCTCTGCACAGACTACACATGCGCTCCTTTGCGTTGGGCTATGGAGCCAACTAGGATTGGTGAAGGATCATGACATCCAGTCAACTGCTAGCTTGCCTGATATCGAAGCCGAGGAGCTGCAGGATGGGTGGGATAGTATTATACTAGGGTAATTTACATGATGTATTCTCGTTGCATACAATTTAGTTCCGCGGGTACATGTGTACCCACCATACCCTTGACCCACGCTGTACCCTTCCAGCTACCCATACCCCACGAGAGCCATGGGTATAAGGGTACGGGTATCTTGCAGGTACGGGTATGGGTTGGTGGCTGCACACCTGCGGGTTTACCCCTGCTGATCCCTAACTGAGATACCTCTATGGGTCTGCCTGTAACCATAAGGTAAATGGAATAGGAACACAGAGACTGGTATATTAATCAAAGACAGGAAACATAAAGGAGGACACAAGCCACTGTCAATGCACACTTGTTCGTTTCCATTTTAGTGTGCGCTGTAGGACTGGAAGTCCTTACAGCCTCGTAGAGGCTATTTTTGCAGTGTCCCTCAGCATCCTATTGCTTTACTATATGAAGCGCAGCTTTACTGTGAGCCACACTGTTCTCACGCTTCATTGGCCAACATTTCACATCCATTCATAGTCCAAAACCAACCCAATAGTACATTATTCCATGATTATATTTACATATCAGACCATTTCTGCATCGCACGACCTTTATTTCATCATAGACCCTTATTTACATATAGCTTTACATACCTAACTCAGTCATGTGTCAGCTTGGTTCCGCATGACAGCACTTAGTGCAATACTTAAGTACTAGCAGTGCATATCATTCAGTAGCTTGTTTTCTGGACATTCCAGTAGCAACTCCCATTAGCCTACAGTTGGTAGCTATTGGCAATCCATATCCGTTTACAACCCACACTGCATCCGTTATTTTTCTGCTTTACGTCTATTTCTATTATCTATTATCTCTATTATCATCTGAATCACCCGCAGTGCGCTTTCCCACGCTTCGCATCGGCCACTAAGTGGCACCTTCTGTGCTCATTTCTAGACCTTTGCTGCACTAGCTTCTCCTTTAGGATCGAACACATTTGTCCTACAAGTATAGCAGACTAGGTGTTGGATGACCTACAACATAAAGATATCAGTTTGGAGCCTATAGCACCACTCTGAGTTGTAAACCTACAGTGCTTATACCTCACATCTCAGATCCATTGGCCTTCGACAGCTTGGAACTCTCAGAACTCAACAAAATAGAGAGATAACTCAGTGACAGAGAACTAGATAGTCTCTTATATCTTTCTTATCACTCTCTCTACATAACTGATATAGTATGGTACAAGTATGTGTATGCATATAGGCTGGAATATCCATGGATTACTTGTGTTGTCTACCTGAGGGTCAATGATAATGTAAGGTTTTGAGCATGAAGTAACTCACTAGTGCTATAGTATAGCCAGCTACTTCAGCTAGATATCCTACAGGAGGTAGGATACTACCAACAGAGAGTGATAATGTTTCAATAGTACAACATGCATAATACATCATCTTCAATTACCCCCTAAAATTTCCAGAGTTAGCATATATAATATTGAATAGTTGTCATATCCCACATTCCGGACCAACATCCGACGACGTTCCCACGCCTCATCCGGACCTCCGGACCTCCTGTCCATGTCTCCAGACCCAATCCTCTATCCGTCCGGATCCCTGTACTCCTGCATCTGATATCCGGATGCCAGATCTGATATCCACATCTCCGGATCTCCGGATCCGACCTATCTGTCATGTCCGAACCCAAACCTTGAATCAGTGCCCATCCCCTTATGGTAATCACCTGTCTCCGGACTTCCGAACATCCGGATCCAACCCACGTCTATCTTCCTTGCCTTTTCCCTTTGTATGTTCCTTCTCAAGTTAGTGTCATATCCCGCGTTCCGGACCCGGACCTATCACGCATTCATCTCCGGACATCCGGATCTGACCCGCTGTAGGGATTCATTTCTGGCTGGGCTTGTAGAGACTGTTTTTACCTTACCTTATGTTGGCACTTTTGTAGCTTACATAAGAAGTTATCTTTTCACCAGTTACCAGTAGGAGTCAGAGTACTAAGCAGTTTTTCATGATATTTCCTCTCCTCTGAGCCTTGAGCCTGGTCCAGAAACCCTTTAGGGTCGAATAGCAGCTAGGTTCTGCAAGACCCAACATTGTTCAGACTCACTCTCTGAATTGTTGTACCTTCACCGCGTCTATCTTCCGTGCCTTATCCCTTTATATGTTCCTCCTTGAGTTAGACTTCCTCATTTTCCGTACCTCGTTTCATTTCTGGCTTTATTTTCCTATGTCTTCATCTCCGTCTTCATTTACTATTTTCCGATAGACTAGTGTTTGACTTTTCTACATCCTCCGTCCACAGCCTCACATAGCTTCGGACTGCGCTGACTGACTCTCCGTTAAGTCCTCTGTAGTATATAAACTCTGTAGAATCTTTGTACTTCCTCAGTCTGAATATCATACACATATTAGTCCTCGCACTAGCCTTCACCCTAAGTCCTCGTAACAGTTCTAGTCCTCCAACTTAGTAATTATCCATCTCAGGCCTAGGGAGGAATTCCCTGGGCCGGAGCTCCGCTCCTCCGCTCCGATCCTCCGCTCATCCACTCATCCACTCATCCGATCCTCCATTCCTCCGAGTTTCCGGAAGTTCCTCCGGAACTTTCCCGCGGTCCTCCGGACCTATTCTGCTTTGGACTTTGTCCTTGCAGCCTTTCCTCTGTTTCCTTCTACTCAGGACTTGTCCTGAGTAGCCATTACACATATCCCCATCAGGACGAAACTCCATCATAATTTCCGGAACTTTCCCGCACTCATCCGGAAGTTTCTCGCACTCGTCCGGAAAGTCCTTCCAAAGTTTCCCACACTCCTCTGGAAGTCCTTCGGACTTCACTGGACTTTCTCCGGACTTCATTCTGAAGTTAAGGGCACATACTCGGGTAAGGGGCGCAGCGCACGAGCTGAAGCCAAGCCCCTTGGAATCAGTCCTACCCTTTGTGCACGGTCTTAACAATAGTACAACTCTTACCTCTATAAATGCTATATATAGTGTCTTATTCAATGTATCTTGGACTAGAGAACAATGATCCACCTTGCCTAAGTAGACAGACAGAACCTAAAACTTAGCCTCTTTAAAAGCAACCAGCTTATACACTCAAGACATGAAAAAGTGGGAGTTAGATAGTGTATGGTGGCTCACCTCACCAGTGTACTAAGACCATATATGGCTTAGAGTGTCTGGCTGGTTACAATATAACTACAAGTACAATCTATAGTCATTGAAAGGGACTATGGAAAATCAAAGTCTTGTCTATAATGAGTATCACCAGTTTGCTGATGATGCTGTGTCTGCTGGTCAAGAAAAGAATTAGGAAGTTGGTGGAATGTGAGTGTTCGGGTCGAAAGCATTTAGACGTGGGATGATGAATTCTCCTACTCTAGCTGTCACATAGAAGATGGTTGTTAAGCAAGCAAAAACTGCCACATCTAATGGCTCTTCGAGATTGAGCTTCTTGCAATTGGTGATGATGAGGTCGATGGTGTAAGGGTCCCATTTATCACATTTTGTGGAGGTGGGCGTGAGCAACATAGCCGCTTTGAGCATGGCTTCTATTTCAATGTCATTGAGTGACCATGGTATGCTGTGGACTATGTGCCAAGTGCACACTCCATTAAGGTAGTTGGATACTGTCTTCCCCAAGTAAATGACTGGACATGCATGATATGAAGGTTTTGATGAGCATGTTGCTTGCTGGCGCTCTTTGGACTTTGGGTATGGCTTTGCTATCACAGAAGACATGGAATATAAGCAAACCTGATTCATACATTTTGCGCGTGCTCTCTGAGTATGTGTGGACCATCACATCCCGGATGCATTGGATGTCTGTGACTGTCAGTGGGAGAGGTTTGCCTTGGGCATCTCTCATGGATTGTGCTGCTATTGGGTACCATAGGTAGAGTCTGTCTTTCGCTGGGCAGCATGGACACAGGTGAGATGAGATGGGGGTCAGACTGATGCAATATGCTGTGTTCTGTCATAAGGTTACCTGTCCATGCTTGATATTGTGGTACTTACTAGCTTTCCACCACTTCGAAGAGCCTTGGTCCTCTGACTTCAAATCTGCGGTTGATGTGGGCGTGTCACTTGAACTCTTCTTCTCTGTACTTTTGGCCCACTCAGTGAAGTGGTTTGTTGGAGGTAGCATCTGGGGTAATGGTGCATTTGACAGGATGCGTGGCTGGGTTGTTTGAGCAATGAACTTGATGCTCAGAGGCTCCTGTGAGGAAGGGCTTGAGCTCTGGTGGGATTGGGATGAGAGGGAGCTAGTCAGATGCCGGGGTATATTCCGCAAGATGGGCCATCTGTGGGGTTCTCCTTGCTTGGTATGTACCTAGTAAGAATTCGGCATTTAGTATCAGCTGCAATCAGATGAACTTGCTTGAATACTTTGTTGCAGGCTTGGTTCTTGCTGCATCCCTTCCACCATCCTTCAATGATACTGCAGTTATTGCCGTATACCTTGAAGTAAGTTCTGGAGGGGCATGCACTCGTGATAGTTCACACAAGGAGCTTGAATCCAATGCTTTCTGCCCATCTTTCTTCCATTCAGGTGAGAGCTTTCATGTGCGCCATTTGCCATTGATGATGATTCTAATCCCATGACCAGAACTAGTGTCCAAGCAGGCAAGAAAGTTGTAGATGATGCAAGGGCCAGGTATCTGGGAGACAACATGGGGGAAGGTAAGAAGCTCCTCCCACCATTTAATGTCACTTGTGGTACTTCATGGGGGGGGGGGGAGTCCTGGCCATGTGTGGGTGGTCTTCAAAAATGCCCAGCATCTTTTCTAGGATCGTGAGGTAAGCGCGTCCAGTTGGTTTGATATGGCATGTGTGAAGGAGCTTGCCATAAAGTTTCTGGACCTCCTGTAACATGTGAGTTCTGCTTGACTGCTATGACCTGACAGCTTTGAGGTACTTAACCCGCTGTAGGGAATGATTCCTGGCTAGCCTTGCAGAGACTGTTTTTACCTTAGTGTTATGTTTGCACTTTTGTAGCTTACATAATCAAGCAACCTTTTCACCAGTATCCACTATGAGTCTGAGTCTTCAGCAAGTTTCTATTATATTTCCTCTTCTCTGAGCCTTAAGCCTGGTCCAGAAACCCTTTAGAGTCGAATAGCAGCTAGCTTCTACAAGACCCAACATATTGTTCTGAATCACCATCATCGGAATTGTTGGACCCACACCACTTCTCTTTGAATAATGCAACTGTCCATTCGGCGATGTCCCAGTTGAAGTCACTGTATAGGGGCTTGTTGCTAAAGAGCTTGTCTTTTGATGTCTCCCATACAATGCTTATGCTGGTTGATGTGGCATCGATGTCCTCCATAAAGTATACGAACTGAGTGTCTTCTGTAGAGCGTGGGGATTGTGCTGATAGGTCTTGGATGGAGAATTTAGCATCTTTGTCGAATTCTTTGACTGATCTGTCTGATAGGGTCTCTCCTTTGTACCATTTGCAGCTCTGTCTGTGATGACTCCTCCATTCTCTGTGATCCTGTCAGCTGACTTTTGACATTGTCTGTTGTATTCCTCCATGTACACTTTCTTGATGCGAAAGAATAGGTGGTCGTCGACCCATTTCAATAGAGGTCTGATTCCTTTGGATCTAAAAATGTCCACACCTGTATCAGCCACATTACCATAAATTCCTGCTGATGGGCCGAAGCCGAAACAGAATGAGGTGTCAATAGTGAACACATCTCCATCAAGACATATTGCCAAGCTTGGCCACTGTGAATGATGTAGTGTTGCTTGATTGTTCTGTATGCCTCTGCAACATCACACATGGCACCTTGTGATCCAGGGGAAATGTGCCATATTGTTTTGCAGATGGTGGTGAAGGTTCTGTATGTGCACGGGAAGAGGTCAGAATGGACTTGAAAATTGATGGAGCTGATGGGAGGGTGCGGGGGATGAGATAGGTTTTGTACCATCCTGAATTCTCCTGGTTTGCCAGGTTTCAGTATGAGGGACAGTGAGGCTGTTTGGAAGTCGCCGATGGTGCATTTGAGTTCTTTTGCTGTGAAAGGTCCGACAAAACAACCTTTCGAGTACTCGCTCTTGACAATGTTCTGAAACACTTCTCTATGCTCAGTGATGGTGTTACTGTTAGGAGGCAAATATGTGCATGTGATTGGGGGTATTCCCCTAGAGAAGCCCTGTGAGAGCCCATCTGGAATGGATGGGTACCTGGAGAAAAGGTTTGATTTTTTTAATAGGTGGAGCCATGCCTCTGGTTTGTACAGTGTGAGGCTCTTAAGCCTTCTTGCTGTGAGGACACAATTGAGCTCCATGCTCTTTGCTTCCACAGCCAGAACACTCGTGTGAGGATTCATAGTTTGACTCTTGGCAGCTTCCTGGTCATTGCCATTTGTGGCAGATGAGTAGACCTTGTGGGTTGATAAGATGTCCATCTTCCACCCTGCGGCAGTGAGTCTTGGAGCCATCCCAAAGGTTGTGATGTGACACTTGGACCTGCACTGGGCAGCAAATAGGGTATTTTCATATATGTGTTAAGGAGTATAGTGGAGTATAGGTTTCCTTATCATTGTCCATCATTTGTCCAGCAAGTAACCTTTGTGTGAAGCTGAACCTGCACTTTCCCGCACATCGGCCGCATTGGACGCGCATTCCCACACTTCAGATACCTTGGAAATGCATTAGGAAAGTCCCTCATCCATCCATAGTCTGTCCAAACCCCATTGGTATGTGAATTTCCTTACCTCAAGGCTTGTAAAATGTGTTGCAGCCTTATTGCATGTCCTTACATATTTACTATATTTCCTATCCCTTCCTATTCCGAGTGGGGTTCTAGACAGTATAAGTTGCCTATACTTTGGACTACTTACCACACTTTCCTCGTACTGTATACCTCACCCTTTAGGTTTACCTTCGAAGTAGTCCCTTGTAGTGCACACTTTTTAGCCCCTATTAGGTTCCTTATACTTCTCTATATCTAGACATTCCTTACTTCACAATATACCTTTGCCCTCGCTCTCTTAAAACCTCATTCCTTGACTTCCCAATACCTTGTCTGCACTTTCCCACACTTTCCGCACCTTTGGCCGCACGTTCCTGCGCTTTGGATAGCCTTGGATACATTCCTATACCTCGTGCATACCTGTCCACTACTTTCCCGCACTTAGTGCACTCTTGGGTCGTACATATCCATCATCATTCTAGTAGCAATTCCCTTTAGGGTTGAACATGTCTATTTAGACATAGCAGCTAGGCATAGCTTGACTCGACATTTTCTTGCCACCCAGCAAGGTTATTGTCTTCACAGCGAGATCCACAATGGTGGATATCATGAGAGAATCAGCTGAGACAGAGGGCGCAGGCAGATAGGCTGTGTGAGCCTGTGCCCCAAGAAAAACCCCTTTGCCATTGGTGGTGATTGCAATTCTTGTCAGGCAATGCATTTTTCTTTTCCTTTGGGGTCTTTGCTCCACATGCAGGAGAACGAGAACAGGAGTTTCAGCTTGGGTAATCATGGGAGTCTCCTTGTGAATTGCAGTAGCTAGATTGTTGGTATTGGTTTACCATGGTGTCTCTGCTTGTGGACTGCATTATGGTGTGTTGGTTCAGCGGAATTGTGCATGGTTGTTGTGGGTGTCCATGTTGTGTTTGCAGGCATCCATGTGGACATGGACATGGGCATCTGTGGGATATGTGTCATGGGCAACCATGCAATGTTTTAGCATAGGCATCCATGGAGAGAGTACCACAGGCATCCGTGTGATGAATCACATACATCCATGGGATTGTCATCATCTGCTTCATGTTAGTTGGAAGTTTGGAGATGCACACTGTTCCAAGTACAAGACTGAACTTTGTCCCACATCTCTTCATTGATTGTCCGAAGGAGGTTCTCATTGATGTTGCCTATGTTGAAACCTTCATCATGCTTGAGTTGATCATATTAGTCTTGGCGTACTTGTGATATGTATGTTAGAATGACTATGTCTCCGATGTTGCTATTGTTCTGGATTGAATGGTTTTTGAGGTGCCAGAAAAACAGAGACAGTGTGTCGATGTGTGACTGGGGCCATTTGGCCTTGCTGATTTGAATGAGGAACAGATCCTTTGCTCGCAGGAAAATTGAGAATGATAGTTTATGGTCCACTAATGCTGCCTTGGAAGCTTTGAATGCTGAGGATGGGTGTAGAGTGAGTTGGTCGTCTATCCTCATGATGCTTAAGTCATTCTCTACTATGGAGTGGGAGGACTTATGTTACAACTTGGATAGGTCAAGCCTTCTCTGGCCAAATGGCCAATCGTCTAGCAGACAGAAGGATAGGTTCTAAGCTTGGATGAAGCCTGAGGTATCCTCCGACAAGCTTGGTAAGCACAGTGGCTCATCAAGCTGTAGGGTTAACAGATGTACGGCTAAGGTAGTGTTGGCTTACCTTAGAAGTGCAGTCAAGACAGTGGGACTAGGAGTCACACAGAAAGGAGTTCAAGGGAAAACCAAGTACTGGGATTGTACTAGTTCTAGGGATTTACCAAGTATATCAAAGTAAGGAATACAATGATATATGTCTAAGCTATATAGGTCTATCCTATAAGGTTCAGGAGGAGTCTGTATCTATGGATCTATCTGAGTCAGAGATAAGATGCCATGAAGCAGGTCTTCTGTGTTAAGATAAGTACATGAGGTGCTCCGGCCTCTGAGTCCATCAACGCATGAGGTGGTATGCGTCGGTCTAGTTCTACATGAGGCGGTCAGCCATCATGATGAGATCAGGAGGCCTTCCGGGCCATGGGTGATGTCATAGCAGCCCAGGCTGCTCTAGGTATCTAATGGCATCCAGGCCGCTCTAGGCTTCTGGCGGTGTTCTGCCATGTCAGTAAGTCGTGAAGAGGGAACATAGAGTGAAGGTGGCATGTTATTGTAACAACTTGAGAGCTTCCTTGCATCTGTCTGGGGAGAAGTACCATAGTTTCTATGCATTCAAAATTGGTGAGCTTCTGTATTGCGTATTGGGCAAGGTGTGGGGTTAAGAAGTCTCCTACAGATGATGCTTCATCAAACCCGTTGTCTTGTTACTTAAGGGTCTTATATAAAAGTTGTGTATAATGACAACACAATTATACACAGGGAAGACTTCTTGCCAGTCCTTAAGTCCACAGTCTCTGACTTTTCTACTTCGTGGGAGGTAACGTGGTGAGTTCTTGGGAGGATTTAGTTTGTTGTCCTCTTCTTGTGTAGTCTGATATGAAGTGTTGTGGAATGTTCTGTGTTCTGGATAAATTCGTTAGGTTTGTTTCAGCCTAGTAGGTCGTGTTTCAACCTATGAAAGTCTGTTTCAACTTTGTTGTCCTTAGATATGTGTCTCACTTTCCGTTGAAAGAGAGAGTCTTATGTATACACATAAAGCTTAGAATGAGAGCTGTTCGATGGTTATATAGTCAACCCCTGTAAGGCAGTGTATAACCTAGAGTAGAATAACGATAACGAAAGTTATATAGTCAACCCCTGTAAGGTAGTATATAACTTTAGAATAGAATAACGATGTGTCTTAGTCTTACTTCAAGGCACGTTGCCTGCACTTTTATTCTTACGTACTCTCACACGGTTTGAGAGAAGAATGAAAAATGAGAAGTTATATTTCATGGGTGAAAATGGGGTCCTTTTATACCTTTTGGAATCCCCTTACTAAGCATGATTCTGTCAGATGGATTGGTAAGAATGTGGCTTACAAACCAGGTGATGAATCAGCTTTTACTAATATACATTATAAATACTGTGTAATCTTACAAAGAAATTACAAAGCATGACAGAAAGGTGCTGACTCTTCTCAGGGATTGGTCATGCAGAAGCTGACAAACCAAGCCTTTGGGTGAGCTGAATCATCCTTCTTACTAAGTACATTACAAACAAAGTTCAGTGTCTTACAAAGAACTTACAAAGCATGATCAACCATGACTGAACATGTTGAGTCATGTTTAAATATTGTTACAAAGCATGACCAATCATGACTAAACATGTTGAGTCAGCTTAAATAATGTTACAAACCAGAATATTCCCCAGTCACATGATGTGCTGACAAATAAAATCTGGTGGCTGAAAGAAGCCAAATAAAAATAAACAGTCAGAAATAAATAGAGATACAAAACTTTGACAAACAAATCTGTGGCTGAAAGTAGCCAAATAAAAATAAATAATGAGAAATAAACAGAAGGTCACATGCTCATAAAAATACAAGGTAAAATAAATCTGAAAAGTGAGAAATAAAATACAAGACAATGAAATAAAGGAAAAATAGAAAGGTAACTCAGTGACAGAGGGCTAGACAGTCTCTCATATCTTCCTTATCACTCTCTATATATCTGACATGGTATGAATCACATACCATGCATGACACCGTTCATCTTGGGCTTCTTCTTTTCCACTTCCAGCCTCTCTTTCTCAACCTTGGCTTTGTATTGTGCATGTTCAGCTTCGTCTTGGGCAGCTTGTGCTCTTGCCATCTCCACTACAGCATGGGCTTCATGATCCTGGATTTGGTTCTATTTGGCTACTCTCACATTGTTTCCTTCTGTCCATGCCTGCTTGAGGTGTGCTATGACTTGCTCTTCAGTCTGGTTTGCTGCTGCAGAGAGGTCCACGCTGTAGCACTCAGCCTCATGTGGAGCACGTATTCAGCTAATTCCCAATGCATGTTAAACACCCATCACACACAAATCACTTCCCAATGTTATCCAACACTTACCCACTCAATCCAATGTTTATCCGCTAACCCGATGTAATCCAATGCTAATCCGACGAACCCGATGTTTTCCATGCATCGGACCCGATATTTTCCCGTTCACTTGTCCTCTCTATGTCCTGTCCTGTCATATCTATCCCCACTAGGTGCGCAGTTATCTGTTTTCACATCACTAACACTGTAGACCATTGTAGGAATACAATACAGAGTGGGGCTGTCATATCCCGCATTCCGGACCAACATCCGACGACGTTCCCACGCCTCATCCGGACCTCCGGACCTCCTGTCCATGTCTCCAGACCCAATCCTCTATCCGTCCGGATCCCTGTACTCCTGCATCTGATATCCAGACACCAGATCTGATATCCACATCTCCGGATCTCCGGATCCGACCTATCTGTCATGTCCGAACCCAAACCTTAAATCAGCGCCCATCCCCTTATGGTAATCACCTGTCTCCGGACTTCCAAACATCCGGATCCGACCCACATCTATCTTCCGGATCCGACCTGCGTCTATCTTCCGTGCCTTATCCCTTTGTATGTTCCTTCTTGAGTTAGACTTCCTCATTTTCCGTACCTCGTTTCATTTCCGGCTTTATTTTCCTATGTCTTCATCTCCGTCTTCATTTACTATTTTCCGATAGACTAGTGTTTGACTTTTCTACATCCTCCATCCACAGCCTCGCATAGCTTCGGACTGCGCTGACTGACTCTCCGTTAAGTCCTCTGTAGTATATAAAACTCTGTAGAATCTTTGTACTTCCTCAGTCTGAATATCATACACATATTAGTCCTCGCACTAGCCTTCACCCTAAGTCCTCGTAACAGTTCTAGTCCTCCGACTTAGTCATTATCCATCTCAGGCCTAGGGAGAAATTCCCTAGGCCGGAGCTCCGCTCCCCCGCTCCTCCGCTCTTCCGATCCTCCACTCATCCGATCCTCCATTCCTCCGAGTTTCCGGAAGTTCCTCTGGAACTTTCCCGCGGTCCTCTGGACCTATTCTGCTTTGGACTTTGTCCTTGCAGCCTTTCCTCTGTTTGCTTCTACTCAGGACTTGTCCTGAGTAGCCATTACACATATCCCCATCAGGACGAAACTCCATCATAATTTCCGGAAGTTCCTCCGGAACTTTCCCGCACTCATCCGGAAGTTTCTCGCACTCGTCCGGAAAGTCCTTCCGAAGTTTCCCACGCTTCTCCGGAAGTCCTTCGGACTTCACTGGACTTTCTCCGGACTTCATTCTGAAGTTAAGGGCACATACTCGGGTAAGGGGCGCAGCGCACGAGCTGAAGCCAAGCCCCTTGGAATCAGTCCTACCCTTTGTGCACGGTCTTAACAGGGGCTATACAAAGATGGCTCCAAACTGATATCTTTATGTTGTGGTCTTGCACTGCCTAGTCTGCTATACTTGGTGACAAGTGCGCTCGACCCAGGGGTCTGCGGTCTGGGAATAGTTTTGGGGGTCAGTGAGTGATGTGGGGTCAATAGTCTGAGCACAGGAAACAATGTCTGAAGGTATAATTACGATGTCCGATGCAAAAGCATCGGGTCCGATGTTTTGGGGTTTCAGGTTATCAGGTTCAGGTTTGGGGTATCAGAAACTAATAGTGACGCGGTAGTGTGCATCGGGAAAGCGAGTGGTATGCACAATAATAATGGGCAGTGAAGGAACGATGATATTCGCAATGTCAACTAAGAACTATGAAATATCAGGTTTGACCCCTAAGCATCAGAGAACATCTCTCCTCTACTTGGATGATGATGATGATATGGGGAGTCCAATATTTATGTAGATATGTAGAAATCAAGAACCCTATAGGCGAAAGTAGTAGCGCAATATTTTCGGGTCCGCTTTCCTATGTAATAAGACATGAGGTGCTGCGGACATGTAATAATGCGGTCTACAATGTTAGCGATGTAAAAACAAGTAACTATGCACCTAGTGGGGCTAGCGCAATGAGACAGGACATAGGTAGGATGAGTACACGTGATATCCAATAGTCTGATGTGAAGTCCGATGTCCAATGTCCGATGTCTGATGTCCGATGTCCGAAGTGCAAAGTGCAAAGTCCGATGTCTGATGTTTTTGGATTCAATGCATATTGAGTCAGATATGATAGGGGATGATTCGGATCATGATTAGCATTGTTACATGCATTGGAAATTAGACCTCTATGAGGCCACAGAGATGTCAGTCTCTACACCGTGTTATTACATGTCCACAGTACCACTTATCTTATTACATAGGACATTGGACCCAAAAATTACTGCTACTACTTTCACCTATAGCACTCCAAAATTCTACATAGACACTATATATTTCGCATACCTCCTACTTACTTATCTACCTTTCTACCTCCAAGTAGGAGGAGGTCATCTGATATTTGTAGTTCTTTGCTGAATTCCACAAATATCATCCTTTCATTATCTGAAACACTCTGAAACACCTGACAGTAACTCGACATTCACTATCCCCGACATTCACTACATTCCCAATGCTAATCCAATGTAACCCGACGAAACCCGAAAACATCGGACCCAATGTTTTTGCCTTCAGACTTGTAATTATA